TCTGCACTTAAAAACAATACATATAAAAAAAAAAAAACTGACCGGCCCACATTTATAAATTGGTCTGGCCCTTCATTTGCCAGAATTGCCAGATGGCCAGTCCGCCCCTGCAGTGATGCATGTTCTATACATTTACTACAGTAATTACAATGAATTTTGCATAATTACATGTAACTAATCCTTCACCATCTTTAGTGGCACACCTTTCGTGCAAATCCTTATGTACCATCTTTTGCAGCTTCTATTCCAACAACCAGTATTTGCAAAAACCCGAGTAAGACCGAATCTTATTTTATATTTATATTTTAAAGGAGCTACACAGTCTAAGATATCTGAACAAGAAGAATTAAAAAGAGAAATTAAATCATCAGGACTTGAGGAACGCTCAGCAGCAGCTAATATTGCTGTAGACACTTTGTTACTATTAAACATAGTAGAAAACTGATTTGCAGTGAGAGAGTTTATGCAGCGAGAGTGAAAACCTTCACTTTTTGTAGTACCAGAGAAGTATGATAAAACAATAGGCTTATGATCTGAGAAGGAGGCATCTTCAATGACAATATTTTCTATGGAAAACCCGTAGGACATTATAAGGTCCAAAGTGTGGCCTAGTGCATGTGTAGCACCAACAATATGCTGAGTAAATCCAAAAGAATCCAAAACATGCATAAACTCAGTTACCAAAGGCTTTCCAGGGCAGCACACGTGAATATTAAAATCCCCTAAAATTAATAAACGATCATAAGATGTGATTATATGAGAAACAAATTCAGAAAACTCCTTTATGAAACCTCTATCAGGCTTAGGAGGCCTGTAAACCAGAACACACAGAAAAGGAGTGGTATCCGATTCTATCAGAGCACATTGGGATTCAAATGTAGTGAAGTCCCCGACAGAGATAGTCCGACATCTGAACCAGTTTCTGAAAACCATAGCCACTCCACCTCCTTTCCCAATACATCTAGGAGTGCTGATAAAAGAACAGTTTAAAGGACAAAGTTCACCGAACACAGAGGACTCACCCGCTCCAATCCAGGTCTCAGCTAAAAAAAAGGAAGGAATCTTCTTTTAAAAAAGGTTTACTGAAGAAATGCAAACAAAAATACAAAGTTACAATAGACCCGATCTGCTCGGTCAAAAAACTGTGTTGCTTCCAACATCCATAACTGCAATCTGACTTAAACGGTAAAAATGACCTTATGTACTGTTTTTATATTGTATCAAATGTTTTTAAATTGTATCAAATGTTTTTAAATTGTATCAATTATTAAATTATGTATTTTAGATAATACAATCACAATGAATTCTTATTATATTTAAATATCCATTTTTATCATGTTTTGACCTTTTTAACTAAAATATTATCACAAATGAATTATGCATAACTGGCTCTTACACCACCCATATTTTAACCGTATGTAGTACGTTTATGTAATTAATTAATATTACTGCCTCGTTAAATGTCACCAGTTTTAGTCACCTTAAAATAAAATGTAACCAAAAAAGCTGAGAGCAAACTCTAAATGTCTCTGTAAACATGTACATATACAAATTACATACAGTACACATACAGTAACTGTAAAATTGCGATAATCTCTAACAGTTTAATTTGTCTTCATTCAATTAGGAGGCTGTTTTTCTTGTATGCCAGGTCTTTCCTAAAAACATTTGCCTGCTAATAAAGCAATAACAGCGAGTAGGAAACTAGGCCACTTCATATATATCAGGTGTCATAAAAATTCATAGCTGACAGCAGTGGTGCGTTTACAAGGTCAGGAGTGTGATATAATGTGTTGTGTGAATTGATTTATCAGCGCTGTGCGCTCTGGATGGGGTTGTATGGTAATTAGGAGTGTTTTCTGTCTGACATGTTTTGCACGGCTTGTTCTAGTTTTGCAGGAGCGACTGAAAGTTCAGCAGAGGCTCATTTATTCTTCAGACGCCATACAAAACAAGTGCTGTGATTTTAACTGTTTTCAGTTTTAACAATTAGGACCTATAGGCTAAAATAATTAAATATACTCATTGGGCAAACGTATACCATCTTTAACCCATTGGACCAATCATATTAGAGAAGAGTCATCTGACCAGTTGGAACTGGCTGGCCGATCGACCCAATCAGAGCAGAGCATTCATCTGATCAATCACAACAGACTAGCCCATTGGATCATTTAAAGCAGAGTCATCTGACCAATCACAACTGACTGATCTATTGAACCAATCAGAACAGAGTAGAGTCATCTGACCAATCACATGGGACTGGCCAATCGGACCAATCAGATCAGAGTCATCAGACCAATCAACAGACTAGCTCATCACACCATTCAGAGGAGAGTCATCGGACCAATCACAACTGAATTGCCGATCAGGCCAATCAGAGCAGAGTCACCTGACCAATCACAACTGACTGGCCCTTTGGACTAATCATAGCAGAGTAGGGTCACCTTACCAATCACAACAGACTGGCAGGTCGGACCAATCAGTGCAGAGTAGAGACCAATCAGAGCAGAGTCATCGGACCAATCACAATTGACTGGCCCATCGAACCAATCATTGCAGAGTAGGGTCATCTGACCATTCACAACAGACTGGCTGATCGGACCAATCAGAGCAGAGTAGTCATCTGACCAATCTCAACAGACTAGCCCATTGGAGCATTTAGAGCGGTCATCTGACAAATCATAAGTGACTGGCCTATTGAACCAATCAGAACAGAGTAGAGTCATCTGACCAATCACATGGGACTGGCCAATTGGAACAATCAGATCAGAGTCATCAGACCAATCACAACATACTAGCTCATCACACCATTCAGAGCAGAGTCATCGGACCAATCACAACTGACTTGCTGATCAGGCCAATCAGAGCAGAGTAAAGACCAATCAGAGCAGAGTCATCGGACCAATCACAATTGACTGGCCCTTTAGACTAATCATAGCAGAGTAGGGTAATCTTACTAATCACAACAGACTGGCAGATCGGACCAATCAGTGCATAGTAGAGACCAATCAGTGCAGAGTCATCGGACCAATCACAATTGACTGGCCCATCGAACCAATCATAGCAGAGTAGGGTCATCTCACCAATCACAACAGACTGGCTGATCGGACCAATCAGAGCAGAGTAGTCATCTGACCAATCTCAACAGACTAGCCCATTGGAGCATTTAGAGCGGTCATCTGACAAATCATAAGTGACTGGCCTATTGAACCAATCAGAACAGAGTAGAGTCATCTGACCAACCGCAACTAACTGGCCAATTGGACCAATCAGAGAAGAGTGTTCATCTGACCTATCACAAGGAACTGCCCCAATGACCATTCAGAGCAGAATCAATAGACCAATCACAAATGACTGGCCTATTGAACCAATCAGAACGGAGTCATCGGACCAATCATAGCAGAGTAGGGTCAGCTGACCAATCACAACTGACTTGGCCAATCAGAGCAGAGTAGTCATCTGACTAATCACTAGCCCATTGGACCATTTAGAGCAAAGTCATCAGACTAATCACAACGGACTGGCCAATTGGCCCAATCAGAGTCATCTGACCAGATTGTTCACCTCAGATCTTTTTAAAATAAAAGTCCGAAATTTTATTTAGCGCAAACCAACAACATTAGTCACTTAGTAGCCTATTAATAATAGTAAACATGTTTCATGTGTATTAATTGTATTAAAAGCATTTAGCATTTCTTTAAAGGGCAGTGGCTGCTATTTAAATCTTTATGTCGTAATCTTTTCACATTGCGTGCTGTTAGGAGATGGTGTAAGCCAGGGGTGTCAAACTCAATTCCTGGAGGGCCGAAGCCCTGCACAGTTTAGTTCCAACCCTGCTCCAACACTCTAACCTGTATCAAACAAGCCTGAAGGACTCAATTAGTTTGATCAGGTGTGTTTAATTAGGGTTGGAACTAAACGGTGCAGAGCTGTGGCCCCTTTGGAACTGAGTTTGACACCTGTGGTGTAAGCTGTAGAAAAAACTTTGGGTAAAAGGGTTGCTGTGACTTTATTTTCAATTATCTTTGGTACGACCTTCACGGTTCAATACACGCTTTGAATTGCGATTTTCTCGGTTTTGCATTTATATATTTTATGTGCGTTTTATATCTCCCCGAATTGACTGTGTGTGCCTGTAAGTCCATGAGCTGAGATGAGGAAACTCCTCCCCGCGAGTAAATATCCAATCACTATGCTCTAAAGCTTCGGGGCGCTTGACCATCGTTCCACACTTTAACATGGCGAGCGGCAGTGAAGTGAGGCTGAGGCAACAGTACAAGGAAGCGCCGGAGAAGTAAGTCAACAGTACGAGAAAGCGCCAGCGTCTTTCAAATCTGCGGTGTGAGGACATTTAGATTTTGCCAGTAAGTATAATGCCAATAAAAAATAAAATGGTGAACAAAAATTAACTGTGTGCAAGCACTGATTTACACGTATAACCATGACTACACACCTGCAGCGCATCACCCAGCAATATCACTGTCTAAAGGCAGAATAGCAGAGAAGGTAATAAAGTCCTCCAAATAGCAACAATCCCTCGCTAAAACTTTCCAGCAAACATACCCAACTGGTTTCGAGAGACACATAAAATAACAAAGGCAGTGCGGCTGTTTATTGCTAAGGATTTGCAGCCGTTTTCGGTGATTGGAGATGTGGGCTTTTGTCATCTTATAAAAGCACTCGATCCGCGTTACAGACAACAGTCTCCCATTTTTTCAGCACCAAGATAATTAAGATGCTTTATTTATATTCACTGAAGTACAAATATGTTCATTTGAAACTTATCTTTATTAACTTCTCATGTATGTTTATTTTCAAAGTGTAGGATTTTATGTGTTCCCCAGTTTGTACATGGGCTACCAGCAGCTGTCAGATTTCAGTGTAATTTTTTTTATACAATACTCTAGGAACTACTGTACTTTTCTTGGCTTTTAAGTAAAACAAAATAAGTATTGCAATAAATAGTTTTTATTTTTTTTCCCCCTGAACCTCTTACTGTTCCTATTGCCTATAGAATAAAAAAAAAACACGTGTCAAGCCATGAGAACCGAATCAAAAACCGTGTTAAAAAGTGTTGAACCATGGGCCAACTGTATTGTTAAATCCCTAGAATAGACCTAAGCATTCATTCAGTTGTTCATGCATAAAATGAGCTCCTATATATAAAATAAGAGTATATTTTCTAGCGATACTGGCCTTGAAAACCCTCGTTTTTATTGTATGATGTTAGAACAGAAGACTCTTTAAATAGGAAAATTAAAACGTCAGCATTTGTTCAAAATGAAAATAGGAAATGTCTTTTAAGCTCACTGTCTGTGTATAATATCCAATCTCCGTCATCAGTGACGATGTCATCAGTGTTCTCTCAGCTGATTGGCCAGTGGCTGGATGTTCAGGGATTCCTGATATTTCTCTGTGTGCTGCTGCTGGTGAAACACTTCCGAGATGTTTATTCAAAGAACATGCCCCCAGGACCCTTCCCTCTGCCTTTTGTTGGAAACCTCACAAACATCGGCTTTAGTGATCCACTGGGCTCCTTTCAGAGGGTAAGTCTCTTTATTCAGTTATGTGTGTGTGTGGTAAAATGATTTAGTGTGAATGTATAATGTGTAAAGACCTGTACACACCAAGCATGATCACTATAATGATATGGGGTGTAAACTATATCATTAGGTGAGTAAATAGTGAGTACATTTTCATTTTTGGGTGAACTTTCCCACCCATTTTTTTGGGTGAAATCTTGTTTGCCAGATTGCAGAGAAGTATGGAGATGTGTGCACACTTTACCTGGGAACCAAGCCCTGTATACTGATGACTGGATATGATACTTTAAAAGAGGCTTTTGTGGAGCAGGCGGACATCTTTACGGACCGACCGTACTTTCCTATAGTGGACAAGCTTGGAAATGGGAAAGGTACAGGCAGACAGACACAGAAAATCTGAATTGCATTGCAGCTAATGTGCTTTTTGAGGAACGGCTTCCCATGCAACGTGTAATGCAGCTGTCGATAAATGTTAAAGGTCTGTGGAGTTTTAAAGATCAAAGTGCAGATGAATAAATGGTGGTTTCTGCTCTGCTGAAGCAAATCCACTTTGCTGCTCTTTGAAGGAAGTTTCGATTGAGATGGTAAAACCTATTCAGTTGTTATTTTCGTGTTACTTTCTTTAAAAGTGCTGAGGAAGAGCTGAAATGAAGATATGCTAATGGACATTTGGTTTCTGAGATGCACTGTGAGCCCTTGACCAATCACAACAGACTGGCCCATCAGACCAATCAGAGCAGGGTAGGATCAACTGACCTATCATGTCAGATTGGTCCATCAGTCCAATCACAACAGACTTGCCCATTTGACCAATTAGAGCAGAGTCACTGACCAGTCACAACAGACGGGCTCATTTGACCAGTCAGAACAGAGTAGGATCATCTGATCAATAACAGCAGACTAGATCTTCTGACCAATCAGGGCAGAGAGGGGTTATCTGACCAATCACAACAGACTGAACCATCTGACCAATAACATCAGACTGCCATATAAGACCTATCAGAGCAGAGTAAAGTCATCTGACTAATTACAACTGCCTGGCCCATCGGACCAACCAGAGCAGATTAGACCAGTCACCAAATGACTAATCACAACTGACTGGACCATCTGACCAACCACAACAGACTGACCAAGTTGACCAATCAGAGCAGAGTATTGTCATCTGCCTAATCACAACTGACTGGATCATCTGACTAATCACAGCAGACTGGCCCACTTGACCAATCAGAACAGAGACGAGTCATCCGCCTAATCACAACTGACTGGACCATCTGACCGATCACAGCAGACTGGCCCATTTGACCAATCAGAACAGAGAAGAGTCATCTGACCAATCATAACAGACTGACCAAGTTGACCAATCAGAGCAGAGTATTGTCATCTGTCCAATCACAAATGACTGGATCATCTGACTAATCACAGCAAACTGGCCCATTTGACCAATCAGAACAGAGAAGAGTCATCCGCCTAATCACAACTGACTGGACCATTTGACCAATCACAACAGACTGACCCATTTGACCAATCAGAACAGAGAAGAGTCATCCGCCTAATCACAACTGACTGGATCATCTGACCAATCACAGCATCTGACCAATCACTGCTGTGATTTGACCAATCAGAACAGAGAAGAGTCATCTGCCTAATCACAACATACTAGACCATCTGATCAACCACAACAAAATGACCGAGTTGACCAATCAGAGCAGAGTATTGTCATCTGTCCAATCACAAATGACTGGATCATCTGACTAATCACAGCAAACTGGCCCACTTGACCAATCAGAACAGAGAAGAGTCATCCGTCTAATCACAACTGACTGGACCATCTGACCAATCACAGCAGACTGGCCCATTTAACCAATCAGAACAGAGAAGAGTCATCTGACCAATCATAACAGACTGACCAAGTTGACCAATCAGAGCAGAGTGTAGTCATCTGTACAGTCACAACTGAATAGATCATCTGACCAATCACAGCAGACTGAAACACTTGACCAGTCAGAACAAAGTACAGTAATCTGACCAATCACAACAGACGGGATCATCTGACCAATAACGATTAATCTGGTTAATAAAGTAATCTGGCAAAAAAAGTAATCAAATTAATCAGAGCAGAGTATAGTCACTTGACCAATCACAACAGACTGGTCATCTGACCAATCAGACAAGAGTAGATTTGTCCAATTAGAACAAAATAGAGTAATCCGACCAATAATAACAGAGCAAGCTTTCAGAAAGGTGGGGTTTAGAAAGACCAGATGCTTCAACCAACCATTTTAGACATTGAGAGAAGAGCTGAAACTGCTGTGGATAAAGGGGAATTTTTTATTTATTTTTTACGTTGATGTAAACGTATTATATAAGACTCTGAATTAAAATGAGTATACTTTAAATACAAAACATTTTATTCTGATGCTAAAATGTGTGCAGGTCTGATAATGTCCAGTGGTCACATGTGGCGTCAGCAGAGGCGTTTTGCTCTGGCAACATTGAAATACTTCGGTGTGGGGAAGAAAACTCTAGAAAACGCCATCCTGCAGGAGTGTCGCTTTCTCTGTGACTCCTTACAGGCTGAACGAGGTCAGTCAGCAGCATTTCTGTACACATTCCTCTTCACAAACATTTTTTTGCTGAGAAAATATGAAAACCGAATGAATGCCCTGTAATGTCCTGCACATGTGTCTTATATTCAGGGAAAGAAATGTTGAATGTCACAGTCATGCTTTGAAGGTCTGCATGTACATACTGTCCTCTATAGGCCACCGTGTGCAAATGCAAGTGTCTTTTTGAAGGTCGAACATCTGGGAAACCACACGAAAGCTTGTCATTATTAATTTAATATTTTATCAAAATCCATACTGTGACATCCAACAGTCTGAGAGACTGCAAGTTTGCCATTTAAAACAGGTAGATTATGTAAACAAGACTAGTTTAGTTTTTTAAACATTATTAATTAACGCAAGTCTGAAAATAAAATTTAATAAAATTTGATTAATACTAATACTAATGAAAGTAAATAAATAAAAAGAAATAAAAAAGAATAAAATAACAAATAAAACAAGTCATTAGTTACTGGTTAAATATTCACATATTCAATTTATTAAGGTTAAATATTCATATTTAATATAGAATATCCATATATATAGTACATAAAATGTACAAATATCAATAAATAATTGAAAAGGTCTACATGTAAATAACTAAATAAAACAAAACAAATAAACAGCGACACAGTGGTTCAGTGGTTAGCATTGTCACCTCACAACAAGAAGGTTGCTGGTTTGAGTCTCGGCTGGGCCAGTTTCCATTTCAGTGTGGAGTTTGCATTTTCTCCCCAGGTTGCCGTGGGTTTCCTCCTGGTCCTCCAATTTCCCCCACAGTCCAAACACAAATGAAATACAGATTAATTTTATTTAATAATAATAACAAGAATATTCAGATTTAGAAAACATCTGTCAGCAAATGAATCGGTAGTTTTACTAGTGTTCTCATACATTTGTTTACCATTATATGTGTCATAATGTTTTTTATGAACCCTTTTTTTCATTGTGTTTTCAGGTTTGCCCTTTGACCCTCAGCATCTTGTGACCAACGCTGTGTCTAATATCATCTGCGGGTTGGTATTCGGTCACCGCTTTGAGTACGATGACCATCAGTTTCATCTAATGCAGACGTACATCAATAACATCCTACAGCTTCCCATCTCAAACTGGGGTCGGGTACGAGATCAGCCTGCTACCATTTTTATTCATTTTACTATTGGCTTAGTCCCTAATTTATCTGTGGAATGAACCGCCAACTATTCCAGCATATGTTTTACACAGCGGATGCCCTTCCAGCCGCAACCCAGTACTGGGAAACACCAATACACTCTCATTGACACACACTCTCATGCACTACAGCCGATTTAGTTCATCCAAACGTTGCGCATTTCAATTCCACAATGACTTTAAATAGAGAGTCTTGGTGTGTCTTGTTTTGTGTGTCTCTTTACAGTTGTATAATGAGTTTCCCACCCTGATGTCGCTGCTGCCAGGAAAGCACCAGACGGCGTTCGCCAGCATGTCTAAACTTCAGCCATTCCTAAAGGAGGAAATCACCAAACACCAGCAGGACAGAGAGCCGTCCAGCCCCAGAGACTACATCGACTGCTATCTGGAGGAGATCGAGAAGGTACTATAGTTCAGAGACGCTCTCATGGGTTGATATTCTTGTCTTTATTAGGAGTCGGGACGAGTTTTAGCAGCTCGTTTATGAATATTCTTCTCTATCCTACAGAGAAAGAGTCGTCACATATTAATATAGTTACAGCATCTACAAAATATTATAGCCATTTATAGAAAATATTGTGTTTTCAAGCAATCTTTTATATATATATATATATATATATATATATATATATATATATATATATATATATATATATATATATATTAGTGCTGTCAATCGATTAAAAAATGAACTAATTAATCACACTTTTTTTTGCAATTAATCGCGATTAATCACATTTAAAAGACTGTAACTTGTAATTTTGGCTATTCAAATGTAAAATTAATGTAAACGCAAGACAAAAACTATTTAAATTCAAAATATAGTTGTATAATTGACATTTGATTTCAAAACAATCAATGCCAATAAAGATAATTAAAAAATATATATTTCCAAGTTGGATTCAAAATACAGGCATTGCAGATATGGAAAATGGAAAATTATAATAATAATAAAGTATTAAATACAAACAATTGTACTCATTGAAAAGTTGTGTTGCTGATAGTTGAGAACACTAATTATAAAGTAGAAACAATTTAGCTAAGTCCTCCTTTACAATTAGCCAGTTGCTAAAACAGTCCAGTCTGTTGACATTATCGGGGGACAATGTGGACCCTTTCTTTTGAATGATGTGAGCTGAGAGTGAGAACAGTCTCTCACAAGCAGGACCACTGAATTAGCATAAGCTTTTCGATGCCTAATTTTGTTGCCACTGGTGCTGCGACAAGGATGTAAGAAGCATCAAGCGGTACATCAAAGGCACCCACAGGTATGCGTTGTGTCGCACCAAAGACTAATTCTTACAGGGACTTTGGTCACACCATCTCTAAACATTTAAACCACTTTGAGGGATACAGACGGCTAAATTGTTGATGTTTAGGCATTTGTTCTTGTTGCAGGCACACACAATGTGTGCAGGACAGCACAGCCTGAGCAACTCCCTTCAGATTCAACACGCATTATTGCGTTTATCGAATTTTCAATTTTCAATCTTAAGTATGACTGTATTTCACAAGGATTCTGACACAGCAACGTGAAGCAGATGCTTTACAAAAGTTGCGTTTAAGGGGGAAGCACGACAGAATGTGCTGTCTTTGACAGCTCGCAACATCATCTGAGTTTCACTGAGTACATTTACACGGACACCAATACTCTGATTTTAATATGATTAACATAACACTCTTATTAAGAGTCTCCAATGTAAACAGCGATTTTTGATTACCTTAAAGGACCACCAAGTCACGAAATGCGGAGGGTTTTTTTTCCATTCGGTATGTGGTATCAAATTCCATTACAACAAAAGTCGAAAGAATAAAAAGGAAACATACGAAATGAGATGAGACCCTGGAGCAAACGCTGTTTTAAACTAAAAGTGTTTCCTTGGTCTTATTCATATTTCTTTGCACGTTAAACACACGTCAGCCACAACAGGAAAAAACTGCAACTACGTTAATTGCGTTAATTTTTTTAATGCGTTAAACATTTCAGATTAATCAAATGTGTTAACACACTAATTTTGACAGCACTAATATACATATGTATATATATATATATATTAGAGCTGCACAATTAATCTGTAAAAGATCGCGATCTAGACCAGGAGTGTCAAACTGTTTCAAACAAGCCTGAAGGACTCAATTAGTTTGATCAGGTGTGTTTAATTAGGGTTGGAACTAAACTGTGCAGAGCTGCGGCCCTTTTGGAACTGAGTTTGACACCTGTGCCCTAGATGATCTTAATTCAGCATTTCTACGATTCTGTCAATCATATTTTCAAGTTCAGGAGAGAAGAAAGGCGGCTGCACGAGTCTTTTCCATTGTTTCACAAACATTGCTCAGTGACATTGACACCTCCAAATGATGTTGAATGAGTCACATACTGTATTTATAAGGTATAATTCAGCTAAAAATGTCATTTTTGTCTTCATAAAATGATGTTTTCGCAATCGGGAAATCACACGTGACGTGAGCTGCTGGCTGTGAGCTGTTATCACAGAGAGGGCGCGCGCGCTCTACTTAATGATGCTACTTTAGTGAACAGAACCTGCATATGTTGCGAGTAACAGGTAATACAGTTGTAAATAATATTCAGTTTGTGGCACAGAGTTATCGTTTGAGAGCGTGAAGTATGAACCAAGCACTTAGCAGTCAGAATAAAACCGAAAGTGTGCACTTCATTTAAATGATCAAATCGCATTTTAGAGTTATGATTACGACAAGCATTTGATGTTTTTTCTTTCATAGCGAACCCACAGTTGTGCATGAAAATAAATGTTTACAATGTCAGTATAACTACTCTAGCCTAAATATTGTTGAATATAATCTGATAATGGCAAATGTCTGATTTTACCAGTGAATAAAATTGTCTAATATGACAGATTGCAAGCATATATCTCAAACATAATAATTCAACATCATAATTATTATAAGAATAGATTAATATAAAATAGAATTATTTATAGAAATAAGTAGACCTACACATAATGTTATTATCAAGGTTGTGCCATATGTTTGTTTTTACCATACCTTTATTTTACATCTACAGAATCGTGAGAAAATCGTGATCTTTATTTTAAGCAAAAAAATCCCGATTTTCATTTTAGCCAGAATCGTGCAGCTCTAATATATATATATATATATATATATATATATATATATATATATATATATATATATATATATATAAAGTTAAATATGAACATGTATGCATAAATATAAACATGTATGATCATATGGACATTATGCAGTATGTGCAGTGTTTTCTGTGTCCTTCATTCTCAGTGTAAAGACAGTGATGCCGAGTTCACGGAGGAGAACCTGATGTTCTGTGTGGTGGATCTGTTTGGAGCAGGAACAGAAACCACTTCCAACACTCTGAGATGGGCTTTAGCTTTCATGGTCAAATATCCTGATGTTCAAGGTGGGATATTGAACACTTAAGAAATACACAAATACACGCACTCTTTAGAACAATTGTTATTGCGAAAAGCGCTATATGATTAAATCTGAAATGAATATCTTCTGTGTCTTCGTTTTCTCAGAGAAGGTGCAGTCAGAGATCGATCAGGTGATTGGACAGACCCGCCAACCACTGATGGATGACCGGACAAATCTGCCGTACACCTATGCCGTGATCCATGAAATTCAGAGGTTTGCCAACATTGTTACCTTTACGCCTCCCAGAGTGGCCAACAAGGACACGACAGTGGGAGGACAGCTCATCCCAAAGGTGATTGCATCCCTGTGTTGTGTAACAAAGACTGCAATAAGTAACTAGTTTCTATAATTAAATACATTTTCTAAAGTAAATCTGGCTGTGCGTATACTCCTACACTATTGGGTTTAACGTCTACATCTAACCCCGCCCCTCACAGTGACATCACTCTGTTGAGTGCTTGTGTCCGAAAGTGCATGTGCGAGTCACCTACTTCAAGAAGGGTGAGCACAAATGAAGCTACAAGTAGGCGGGGCTAACCATCCAAAAATGGGCAAAGAGGCGGGGCTTGGGCGGAGTTGGGTTTAACGTCTACATCTAACCCCGCCCCTCACAGTGACATCACTCTGTTGAGTACATGTGTCCGAAAGTGCATGTGCGAGTCACCTACTTCAAGAAGGGTGAGCACAAATGAAGCTACAAGTAGGCGGGGCTAACCATCCAAAAATGGGCAAAGAGGCGGGGCTTGGGCGGAGTTGGGTTTAACGTCTACATCTAACCCCGCCCCTCACAGTGACATCACTCTGTTGAGTACATGTGTCCGAAAGTGCATGTGCGAGTCACCTACTTCAAGAAGGGTGAGCACAAATGAAGCTACAAGTAGGCAGGGCTAACCATCCAAAAATGGGCAAAGAGGCGGGGCTTGGGCGGAGTTGGGTTTAACGTCTACATATAACCCCGCCCCTCACAGTGACATCACTCTGTTGAGTGCTTGTGTCCGAAAGTGCATGTGCGAGTCACCTACTTCAAGAAGGGTGAGCACAAATGAAGCTACAAGTAGGCGGGGCTAACCATCCAAAAATGGGCAAAGAGGCGGGGCTTGGGCGGAGTTGGGTTTAACGTCTACATCTAACCCCGCCCCTCACAGTGACATCACTCTGTTGAGTACATGTGTCCGAAAGTGCATGTGCGAGTCACCTACTTCAAGATGGGTGAGCACAAATGAAGCTACAAGTAGGCGGGGCTAACCATCCAAAAATGGGCAAAGAGGCGGGGCTTGGGCGGAGCATTTTGCTTATTTTTATTCTTAATTTGACAGGGACAATGAACAATTAAAGGTCCGCCCTAAAAGAAGCAACATAGCTAAATTTCAACTGCAGTCCCTTTTACGGTTTTTCTTCGGGAAAAATGGAGGCCAGACTGGTCTGTGTGCACAGTGCAAGGCATGCCACATTATTTCATAATTGTAACTAATAATCCCAAAAATCAATAGACTTTATAAAGCCACATTTATAAACCATATATATGATATTTATGCAAAGTACTATGGCCAAGAATCAGATGGTAATTGTGACAGCAAACAGCAGATACCTGTTAATCAACGTCTTTAATTTTTCTGAATTTTGATGAAAACATTCATCCCCTCACATTTGTCATAAAGGGTTATAATAGTTATATACAGGGCTTAACATTAACTTTAATGATCACCAGCCACTGTGGCTAGTAGTTTTCCAACATTACTAGCCACTCGCCATTTTCACTGGCCACAGTTTAATTGTTGGGAAAATATATTTTATACACATCATTATGACTTTGACATGCTAAAATGACTTGATTTAGAGTTTGCGTTATCTCTACATGCCTCCTCATTCATTTCACTTTTTGTGTGTCGTGTATGAGCTTGCTCAATAATCATGAGCAAATGGGTCAGGGTTTCATATATTACAATTAGTTTTCATAATTTTCACAGCCCAAAATAAAGGATCCACCCAATTTATCTCAGACCACACCATAAATAAACAGTTCATTATTTCTTAGCCACAAATTTTAAATGTGCCAAAACGAGCAAAATATAGCTGAATACTATACTTTTTATTTAACAAAACATATGCACAGTCATACGTCCTGGCTAAAGGTCCCAGATCACCAGTTAACTACACATAAATGGGGAGTTAATCTCCGATTAAAGCAATGTTATTGTAAAAAAATTATATTTAAACCATATTAACGCAAAAGAAAGCAGGTAAAAAACATACTGTGTGATAATGGTTAAAGCGAAAGCAACTGCCGCTGCTTACAATAAGTCAACTCTGGAACTCTTGATAGCAGCAAGACTGTAGGTGCAGGTTCCTCCCTTTTTGTCCAGTCTATTTGAAAGAGAACCGATCGCATCAGTTGTGTATCTAGACACAGTCGCTTCACAAAAGGAAACGGGAGCGCGCACGCATTATAAACAGTCACGCGCATTACCTCAGCTGTTTGCGCGAGTGATTATCCTCTCATTCGGTATTCACCTGCTGTGCTCGCACAAAGTTGCGGAAGCAATTATTTTTGATGCTTCTCGATCGCCTGTGCATGCATATTGGACCATCCTTATTGTCGAACCCTGCTTTTAAGAATTATTATCTGGGAAAATTATTTTCAACCAGCCAAAGTGGCTAGTGGGAGTGTCTGTCTTACCAGCCACCGCCGAAATCTACTAGCATCTGGCGGGTTGGCGGGTGTTAATGTAAAGCCCTGGTTATATACACCAAGACTTTTTTGTACCAGGCTGTAAACACCTTTTTTTGGCTCTAAAGCTGGACATTTTAAGAATTTTATATATATATATATATATATATATATATATATATATAGGAATAGAAAAGAGCATGTTTTAATGAAGAAAATCCATAAATCTAATACTTCACAATCTGTTTGGTTATTACAGGGTGTGATTGTTTTGCCGATGCTGAAACCAATCCTACTGGACAAGAAGGAGTACAGCACTCCATACGATTTTAACCCGGATCACTTTCTGGACCAAAATGGCAAGTTTTTAAAGAAAGAAAATTTCATCCCTTTTTCAATAGGTAAGTCAGATCTTTACAGCGTTTGTGTCTTATTTCTTGGGAAATTTGTCCGATTTTTTTTATCATAAGAAACGCATTTATTTTCTCTTTGCCATGATGACAGTCAATAACACTTGACTAGATATTTTTCAAGACACTTCTACACAGCTTAAAGTGACATTTAAAGGCTTAACTAAGTTATTGTATAATGATGGTTTGTTCTGTAGAGCCAGTGGTTCTCAATCTGTGGTACGTGTACCACTAGTGGTACGCGGGCTTACTTCTAGTGGTACGCGGAGGAATCACTGAGTGATGAAAGAAATAAATGAATACAATTTTAATCATTTGATGCGTACAATAACACCTGTGATCAGCATTGGCTGTTCTCTAAAACCTACGATCAACTCGATGTGCTTAGAATGTTTACTTTAGTGCATCGCGTCATCAGCTGATAAAAATCAATCCAAATGTTGCAGAACTCAAGAAAGAGGTGCATGGTGCTTGCAGAGCAGATATGCGGTAGAGCAGTGGTCCCCAACCCTCCGGCCACAGACCGGCACCGGTCTATAGATTAATTAGTACCAAGATAGTCAAAATATTTTATTTTGAAAAATGACCGTATTCTCTTGTTACATCTCGATCACTTGAGCATCAAAATTTAACCCACAGGCTAGCAAAATGAGTAGGAACTACAGCACGATGCGCTTGCGTATTTCAGGCATACCCATTTGAAAACATAGTCACACTTTACAATAAGGTTCATTAGTTAATGATAGTTAATGCATTTACTAAGATGAACAAACAATGAACAATACATCTACTACTGTATTTGTTCATGTTAGGTAACGTTAGTTAATGAAAATACAGTAGTTCATTGTTAGTTCATGTTAACTCATGGTGCATTAACTATTGTTAACAAGCATGGACTTGGATGTTAATAATGCATTAGTAAATGTTCAATTATGATTAATAAATGCTGTACATGTGTTGTTCATGATTAGTTCATGTTAGTAAATGCATTAACTAATGAAGCTTATTGTAAAGTGTTACCGAAAATATCTTAACTTTCTGCGAGTCACGTGGTTAAGTTTTCAAATTGTATAAATATGTATATGCCTCGTTTTCGAACTGTGCAGTGCTGAAGTGCTTAATTTGGCCAACTACGCTACATTATTTCAATAGTGGTCATTTTGGTGGTACTTGGAGAGACAACTTTTTTTGAGGTGGTACTTGGTGGAAAAAAGTTTGAGAATCACTGCTGTAGAGTATCAGAAAAAAATTGCTTAAAGGGGCTAATAATTTTGACCCAAAAAGTAAAAAAATAAATAAATACATTTTTTTTTTATTCTAGCCAAAATAAAACAAATAAGACTTTCTCCAGAAGAACAAATATTATCAGACATGCTGTGAACATTTCCTGAATCTGTTAAAATATCTAGTCAAATATTATTTACTGTCATCATAGTAAAGATAAAATAAATCAGTGATTAGAAATGAGTTATTAAAACTATTATGTTTATAAATGTGTTGAAAACAAATCTGCTCTCTGTTAAACAGAAATTGGGGGAAAAATAAACAGAGTGGCTTATAATTCAGGGGGGCTAATAATTCTGACTTCAACTGTACATTGCTTTAGTCAGGACGTGAAGTAACTAATGCATGGATGACAATTGCTGTGTTATTGGTTGTGAGAGGAGACGAGTAATGTTGTGCAGGTGGAAATATGCAGTACGTGTAAAATTATTAATGTGACCTTCAAACGAGAGTGTGCTATCCAAAATGACACCCAAACTCTTGACCTGCAGAGAGGGATGAATTATGCCTTTATCAATATCTATTGTAAAATTATCAGATTTATCCAAAACACTTACACTACATTTACTGTTATTTTACACACTTATTTCTCTATATATTATTTTTTATACAATTTATTAGTTGGCGGCGCAGTAGGTAGTGCTGTTGCCTCAAACCAAAAGGTCGCTGGATCGCTGGTTCGAGCCTCGGCTCAGTTGGCGTTTCTGTGTGGAGTTTGCATGTTCTCCCTGCGTTTGCCTGGGTTTCCTCCGGGTGCTCCGGTTGTCCCCCACAGTCCATAGACATGCGGTACAGGTGAATTGGGTTGGCTAAATTGTCCGTATGTGTGTGTGAGTATTTGTGGATGTTTCCCAGAGATGGGTTGCGGCTGGAAGGGCATCCGCTGCGTAAAAAACGACCTGGATAAGTTGGCGGTTCATTCCGCTGTGGCGACCCTAGATTAATAAAGGGACAAAGCTGACAAGAAATCAATGAATGTATTATTTCAAGCCAGTAAAATGTCAATAGACGTCACTTTGTTAAACTGTAGAGTTGAATTTTTAAAATCAAAAGTCAACAAAGCAGAGATCAACACCCCATAATGCAATTCACAACCGTTAATAAACAGAAAACACTTGAGAATTATAAAATGAGAAACTGTTAATTAACAAATATGTTTTACAGTGTGAATTTAAAAGAGAGATCTGTGAAGGGTGTACTAAATTAGGCTTAACACTGTAAATTCACACGTGTCTTATTTCTCATGAAGTGAGAGCAGATTTACTGAGTCAGCTGTTGTTTTGCAGGTAAGCGGATGTGTCCAGGTGAGCAGCTGGCCCGTATGGAGCTCTTCCTCTTCTTCATCTCTCTGATGCAGCATTTCACTTTCCTGCCTGTCGAGGGACAAAAGTTGAGTCTAAAAGGAACCACGAGCGTCTCTTCTGCTCCTCAACCCTTCCAGATCCGTGCTGTGCCTCGATAGACTGTCAGATTTCTTAAAGGAACAGTACACCAACATATGAACTTTTCCTCATCATTTCTTCACACTCAGGTGATTCTGAACTTTTATGAGTTTCTTTCTTCTGTTAAACACAAAGCAAGATACTTTGAAGAATGCTGGAAAAAAAAAACATTTATATAGTTGGAACCAAAATAATACCATATGCTACTCGAATACGATGCATTAGCAAACATGAATAATATGTTCATGTTTGGAGTTTGTGCTAAAACACTTTTAAAAGAGGATTAAACACAGTTGTGTGACAACAGTGTGTGAATATAACCAGCTTCTAATGGTAAAATGTAATAATTTTTAATTTTGTAATCGCTCTTGATAAAAAACGTCTCCAGAAACACTTTGATTGACATTCTCCTTTTCTACGTGTCATCAAAGGGGGAAAGCCCCGCCCACTAGTGATGATCTCTCCCTCATTAGCATATAGGGCGTTAAGCCTGGTTTATCATTTTGAGTCAAGCAGCTGTGCATTTATACTTCTGCGCGCTGTCTCTGTCGGTCTGCATTAACACTTCCGAAATGCTAGTTGGCAGTGAGGTGTAAATGTTCCTCTGTGTCGAGTTTCTTCGTTGTTGTTTTGCTTTTTCTGAACACTTCCGGGATGTACAAGTGGCTCAAACTTGCTCATTTTGAGGCAGGAACCGGCGGACGTGCAACAACTTTAACTATGAGGTAAACACAAAACAAAACTTTCCATCCGGAGCTCCTTGGCGGGACTCCACACTTGTAAACAATCGCTAGGCCCACACGGAATCTGCGCGTGCAGATTTTCCGCAGAATTCCGCAGATTTTTTGCAGATTTCTGCAGAGTTCGGCAGATTTCTGCAGTTTTTTAGCCCATTATAAATTCTGTTTATTTACTTGAGTAAATGTGTAAATGGGAATTTATTCAGTTTTTATTCAGTAATTTATTACTTTTATTTAATATATTAAAGTGTAAGTTATGATACTCCGCTGGGTACTCCCAAAATAATTCTGCAGAAATCCGCAGATTTTTACCAAAATTCTCCGCAGAAATAGCAAAAAACGTCCGCAGATTCCGTCTGGCCCTAACAATCGCTCCATCAGGCTCGCACCATTCACGCGGCTCTCGGTCCCGCCCAGACTCGTCATCGCTACCAAGCCGAGCAAATCACAGAGCTTACGCTATGTGTCGTTGCGACGTATAGTTACATTTTTTGAGAGGTGCACGTCAGCACGTCACCGATGGCCACGGCAAAGGGCTATGCGTCAGCGCCGTAGCATACGCCGCCGTTTAACGCAGAAGTATAAATCAGCCTTTAGTCTTGTTTTTAAATCTGCCACTATGCTGATGCACAAGCACTTGTAGCTCCGCCCTCTTTTAAAACGAGCAAAATCTCATTTGAATTTAAAGTGACAGTCACCAGAATTGCACGGTCCCCTTTAACACTCCAAGACTGGCATGTTATTCTTGTTTGTTAACTCTTTACTAACATGATTTATCAATAACAAAGCATTTGTTAATGGAATTAGAAAGATTATTGTAAAATTTACTCTACAGTTTTGTACCAACATTAATGTGTTACTAGCATTTGTTGATAGAAATTGATGTGTTAACTAATAGGATAATTAACCCATTGTTATATGTTTAGTTAACATGAACAAAAATGCTTAAGTTATGCTTTTCGTACTACAACTCTATTGTAGTTACCACATGTATATATGGTAGATGTCTTTGAAAGAGAGATGTATAGAGAGATGTTTATATATTTATACAACAGTTCTGTCTGGTTCTCGAATCTGATTGGCTGATAGCCGTGATATATTTAAGTAATATCAGCACTCGTACAGCCTCTTTACCCTTTGTGTATTACTCCGCCCATATACAGCCAGCAACAAGTAGAGACAATACAGGTTGACAAATATTACTGCTGTTACACAACAAAATATACTTCTGAGGCTTTTTTAGTCAAGAATGTAGTTGTTTAGATTGCAACTATACAGTTTATTTGCAAGAATAGTGCCTATTTTAAAATATTTACAATTTTTGAGAGAGCTCGTTGGCAGCCATAGTGTAGACCAAAGATGGTTGACGCTTTCTGTCCTGAAGATGGCGCCAGAACCACATAATAAGCAAGTGTGCCGCAAGCCTGCGTTTGAGTGAAGGTCTCGGCCATTAGATCGCCCCCTGGGGGCTGGCTGCAGTACAAGTCATAAAGCCCGCCTCCTCTATGTTAATGAAGGAGACTTGAGCCCAAATAAAAAAATTTATTACACTTGCAATAAAATGTCCCGAAAGATGGTTCTGGTGGATTAAGGCACTGGTTATTGTGCTGAAATAGGTGCAGATCTTCATTTTTGTAAACAGTTTGTTTTTAGCAGTAATTTAATGCTGGGCGTGTCATCGTGATTGACAGCTGTGATTGACAGTTTCTCAAAGCAGCGCGTCTGAGCTTCGGCAGGAGACTGAAGTGTTATTATTCGATTTCTGTGTTATTTTACCATGACAAAATGAGTTCAGCAGTAAACTACAGTTTCTGACATACATGATCTGGTGGAACACTGTTTATTCGCTAAGGTCAGGGCTTTTTTCGGGCTTTATTAGTTTGCTGATACACGCCTAACCACCCAGATAGCAAAATACACTCGGGCCAGTTCCGGCTAGATTCTCGCCTGCCGGAGACTTACCCCTCAGAGGTCAGACTGACTACCTCTGCTCTACCTACTCCGGATGCCTGGACTTACTGCCCGATTCCAGCCCGAGTCAATCAAGCCATATGCTTGAGCGAGCCGGCGCTGCCGCATGCGAGCCGGATTCAGCCCGCGACGCCGCGAGTAGGTTATGCCCTGCGGCCCGGAGCTGGCGCGATTGAATATATAAAACCCTCATATTTGTTAACGTTATTACATCCATTTGTGTTGATAAGACAGCAAACGCATGCTGAGAAGTTCGGGGGGCGTGGTTTATTTTACATAAAGCGTTTGGTTGGAAGCTCGGCTCATTTTCGCGGCTCCTGCTCTGGCTCCATCAGACAGTCCTTCTGCGCATGTCAAGGCTCCAATTTCAGCAGTCTTTTGCGACAGTTTGTGCCCGTCAAGCAGGCGTTTTGCCCTCAAGGCGTTCAATGGGAAAAGGGGCTGTCGCGTCGTCCATATTTTTTACAGTTATTGATAATAAGCCCTTATGCTTAGAAGATTATAACAGTCTGATTTCTAACTACAGCAGATCAAATCATTATTAAACTGGTAAGAAATACCTGCCAACACTTCTGATTTTCATGGGAGTATCCCGTATATCAGACCAGTCTCCCGCAACCCTCCCGTTTTTATTTCTTCCTAAAAAACTCCCGTAATTTCACCTACCCCGCTCTTTGGTATGGTCTGTAAACACCCCTGGCTTGCAAACTTTGTTACAGTACCCGATTGAAGCAGCCGCTCAAAAGCCGCTGCACCCCATCCCTGTTCTCAGCAGTGTTATTCACCCCCGAACACCCAATCCTCCCGGTCTCTCAGTTTTTCAGAGACATGTTGGCAGGTTAAGCAGGTCGCACACCAGAATCGCCGCTCGGCGGCGCGCCGCGCAGCGCCACGCAGCGCCATGTATTTTAGAATTCTAAACATAGGTTTCTATCAGGATACACACACCGGCGCCGCAAGTCGGCGGCTGTCGGCGGCGCCCGGTGACGGCTCAGGACGCAGTTCATTTTTCAGCCGCGCCACAGAGCGCCATCTGATTAGTTTCATGTTAAATATCATTCGAATGTGCGCGTCTGGTGTGTGATACTTTAAACTGTCATGTACGCGCCGTGTCGCAGCGCCGAGCGGCGCTTCTGGTGTGCGACCTGCTTTAGATGATCTCTCTTTTAGTATGTTATAGTGCTGTATTTATACCGATTTTCTCGCATATCAGGAATGTGAGTTGTGTTGGCTGATTTAAATAAGCAAAGTCCGCTTGTGTTTAGCGTTTTTCCTTATCGCAACCACAACAGCAGTCTGGTAACGTTAGTGGGTTTGTTTTTATTTTCGGCGTTAAGTATTGTGAAATCCCGATTGCAACAGAGAAATACTGTAGACTGTATCACTGTAAGAAGATATCTCTGTAGATGGATGGCATTTCATGTCACGTTCAGCCTTATAATTTTAAAGTGAACAAAATCTGCTGCTTTGTCGTCACTTTAGACATAAGTCATTCAAACACTAGCTCTAAGTGTTGTTGGTGAATTAGTAATGGCTTCTACTGTTTTTACGTCAGCTGCAGACGTGACTGAATGGCGGAAGAAAGTAGTTCCTAATACAAAAGAGTTTTAGACTCCATGTTTGATTTTCTTATTTATATACAAGATTGTGCGGTTGAACTGTTGTATAAATGCAATATCACACTCGTAGCAGTGCACTATGGCTGCATAACCTCCCACCAGTGCTGATATACAGTCATATAACACTGCTACGAGTGTGATATTGCTCATATATAAATGAAAGACATCTCTGAGGCTGTATTTATTTGATCAATAATACATTCATTCATTTTTCTGCGGCTTAGTCCCTTTATTTATGAGGGGTCACCACAGCAGAATGAACCGCCAATTTATCCAGCATATGTTTTATGCAGCGGATGCCCTTACAGCTGCAACCCAGTACTTGGAAACACCAATACACACTCATTCTCACACACACACTCATACACTACGGCCAATTTACTTTATTCAATTCCCCTATAGCACAAGTGTTTGGACTGTGGGGGACACCAGAGCACCAGGAGGAAACCCACACCAACACGGGAGAACATGCAAACTCCATACTGAAATGCCAACTGACCCAGCAGGAACTCAGCAACCTTTTTGCTGTGAGGCGACCGTGCTAACCACTGAACCACCGTGCCACCCTTTTATATGTTTAAGCTTTATAAAACACACACACACACACACACACACACAGCTAATTGTAATTCAGGTCTGTGAGTGTGAGTCTGTATCTGAGAAAGCCATTAACATCCAGAAATGAGATTATACTCTTGACCTCGTCCTGCTGCCGGAGATGAATTTTTATGGCCAAGTGTTTGTTGTTCAGCTCAGATGTATGCAGAGCTAATAGCCCACATTACTGCAACAGTTTTATAAGGGTTTGTTGGTTTTGACAAACGTTACCTGGCAGAAATACGACATTTATACATTAACAGTTAAGTAAATCTTGGTCAGGGTATACAAAAACTGATTTTGCCCCTACAAATGTATTTATATCACTGTATACTGTATATATGTCAAAATTATTAGCAGCCCTGTGAAATTGAATCCATTGTCAAATATTCCCCAAGTGATGTTTAATGGAGAGAAGATTTTTCAACACATTTCTAAACACAATTGTCCAAACACATGCGCTATAGGGCAGGGTCCCCGCGGGGTCTTAAAAAGTGTTAAAAAGTCTTAAATTAAAAAAATTGAAATTTATGGCTTTAAAAAGTTTTAAATTCGCTGTTCTAGGTCTTAAATATTTTTGCACAGGTCTTATTTTTGCGATG